GGGGGGGGGGAAGACACTGTTCATTTCACAATAAGAATAAAATCAACCTTGATAAGCTCCTCCTGCATTTCAAGAAATTCCAATTTCCTCCTCCTTTCCGATAGCGAATCTTCAGATGGCAGGGAAGTGATGCCCACAGTATCCACAACCTCATCTGGTAGCGAAGACAGTGTAGCTCCAACAGCCTCCTCTGGCTTCAACCTTCCAGAAACAGTGAAAGCTCTGCTCACAGAATGGGAGGAAAAACAGGTCATGTGTGCTCAAAGGTGAACAAACTAAGTAGTTGCAAATTGAATAATCTTCAAGAAAATGTGTAATCTGGGCATGCATATACTAGTTTGCAGGTGCTAAATTTCAGAGAGACAGAGAGAGGGAGAGACTAAGATACCTGGAAAGGATCAGAAGTGAAGAAGGCACTGAATGATTAAGTGACAAATCCAACCAATCACGGAGCTGCACATAAGAACAACAACATTAGAACAAAGTATTGTATGTATTCAATGATTAACTTTTAAGTTCATTTCCCCTAAAGTATGTATATATTCTTTTCTTCAAGTTTTCCTGTAACTGGAAGGAACTAAAGACATTTCTTCTTCTTTTTGTCAATTTCTGCCAGGGGTTAAAAATGAATATGTGGAAGTTATAACATAAACTTCTCCTCTCCTTCGCCCTCATACTTTCTTATAAAACAATGGAAATGGACCTTGGCGTCACCCTTTTACTTCTCCACCTTCCCATCAGCTTTTGTGTCGATGAAGAAATTGGTACAGCTAACTGAGTGCTTCTACAAACTTATTTCTTCAAATCCATTTGAGATCAGAAGGATCATAGCCACTTAATTCCATGTCGTATAATGTCCTTCACATTCAAAGTCAAGATCAAACAGACATTCCCCCATCACTATAAACCAGCTAACTTTAGAACGGAAAAGTGATAGTCCCTTCATCCCTGTTTATTTGGCACTCTTTCCCTTTTGTCTGTGATTGAAACATTTTCATATTTAGAAATTATATTTGAGCCTTACATTCCCATTTTGCCCTGATTGAAATAATCTATGAGAACTGGCATGACTTGATGCAGATCCTGCTGCATAGTAATATAATGTGGTACTAAGAGTACTTTTGATATTTTATTTATATTTGGTTCATGTGTCAAACGCCTTCTTTCTTTCTTAAACTTGTACCTACTCAAATATCCTAAAGATATTGAGACGAGTACTTTTCATTGATAACGAACATTTTCAACAAGAAAATCACTAAAATAATGAAGTCAACATTGAATATCTTAGCAAAGATAGTCCCAAAAACAGATATTGCAAGAGCAACCCAATCCTACATCTGTAATTTAGCTGAAAATGTTGCTGCAATTCGGTAAAAAAACTATTGACAGGATATCCACATAATATCTGAACAAATACTTTTTTATTGATTTTTTTGCAAAAAAGTTGACCAAGAACCTGTTGGCGCATTTCTTCAACGGAAAGTAAACCAAGCATGCCTCGCTCTCTACAATCTTCACGAAGTTCAGCCTCTGAAAGAGACTCCACTCCTTCAGCTTGAATCAATTTGTCATCATTTTTAATCCTATGAAAATGATAGGATCTTAAGTGTCACATATATCTTACTAGATGCAACTGTACGAGAACTAAACTAGTCACTTCGAAAGTAGATAGCATGTCTATGTATGGCATGTTAATGAACATGTATACGTGTTCCTTGAGAAATTGCTCGGCTGTTAAATCTCCAAGAACATGTGTTACTTCACCTTTTTCCCAGGCAACTACTGTTTGTTAGAGAAAATTAATACTGACAGAGACAGACTGGTAAAATTGCAATGTTTGTGCTACTGATTGATGTAGGTTCTTGTTAGAAGAGTAAAGACAGATCTTTCCATCAACAGTGAAACAAAAAGACATTTTGGGGTCTCTTAGGGGTCACAAAGGCAGTGAAATTTTTTGTTTCCCTCAGCAAATAACTAGTCGATCACATTTTTTTTTTCAATAAAATGAATATATTTGCAATTATTTTCTTGCAGAGTCTCTGCAGATTTAAGCTTGTCTGAGCTACATAACTTGTCAATAGCAAAGGAAAAGCACAACTAAACAAACTGTAACCTCTTCCCAGCGAGTGTTCAAAAGTCAAAAGGAACTGAACATACATCCACGTGAAAGATCATTTTCTTATTTCTGTTGACAAATTAAACAGACTGATATGCCAAGTTCCTCTTGCTGATGCAATTTCGAGAAAATGCCTCAAACACCTTACTCAGAGTCCGAACACCATCAGCAAAAGAATTTCATGTCATACTAGAGATTCAGAAAGTAACTCACTACTGAGCAATGTTAGTGAAACTTGTACCTCCACAAACGTCAAGAACAAGTCAAAATATGACCTACTTTCACAAACTGTTATTGACTAAATAGAAACTTACATTCATGAACATATATAAGAGTCCCTAACATACATTTTCTTAAAACAATATCCTACATGGAAAGAAGTGGCATACCTTTGCAATCTCTTCCGAAGCATAAAACGCAAATAAGCATCTGTTCCATAAGGACTTATCCCCATATACTTGCACATACTTACTAATCGAGGCCTGAGAACAGAGAAGATTCAATTCCTTCCATATTCAGAGATTAGATTGTATATCACGTTGACTAGATAGAACTATAAGGTATAGAAGAATTAGTTATAATACCAACCTGCTTATATTATCTAGGGTAAGCTCATCATTGAACAGCTTGGCAAAGCCTAAAATTTCCTCATTCGTGACTCCTGCACCTCTTCTAACCTGCATGAAGTTTCATATTTAGACAAGCAGAATGCTATTGATCTTCATTGGCACTTTTTATTTCCATATTTTTTAGCCTCTGGACGAATGTAGGGGATAGCGATGGTTGTATATCAAGAGTGAGTCACCTTGATCAGAAATTCATCAAGATCTTCAGCTGTTTTCTTTAGTTCTCCACTCCGAGAGTTTTGGACTTCTTTAGCCATCTCCTTGACGGTGTCTTGAAGAAATTTTGCATATTCTATCCTTGCAATCAACCTTCTCTTTAATGCTTCCTATAAATGAAGCATTCCAAGCAAGTAAATTGATGATCTAAAGGAGGATAAACTCTATAGCTTAAGCAAATGCAAAAGTAACAGTCTGAGATTGTTAAAGCCGCTGGAATTTGTTTGAGTGAGCACAAATATTATATAACCAGTACAAATTACGAAACCTAGATTGAGATATCAAGGCCTAGAATTACGTACCAGTATGAATATACGACATCACACGAGTAAAAAAATTATAGACTACTTAGACAATAACATAGATTTTACTTTACACTCAGAAAGAAAATATTTGACCTGTTCTTTCATTTTGTCTTGAAAAGTAGATGGCAACATGTTTGGAAACAGCTTTAAGAATACAGGCAGTAAAAATTCCATGAAGGGGACAATGACGAAAACAGCAAATGGAACCAGCCTGAATATATCAGCTGTAGTCCGTGTGAGCTGTTGCCTCTCTCTTCTAGAAAGACTCTTTCCACTAGCTAGCTTTATCAACAGTCTTGAACTGATCCTCGTATCAGCCCAGAGGAGCTTAGAACCTAGCCAATAATGCTGCAGAGTAGATATAAACTCATGTCTCCAGTGAGCAAGCTTTTTGGCCCAATCTTCCCTGAATAAAGACCACAAAAAAAGAAAAAAAGGAAACATGCACTAAACACTATCAGAGACACTTCTTGTTTAACCAAAAATAAACCTACAGGTTCTAACAAATCCTAACCTACTCATCGAGGCCACCACCCTCAAAGCAGGACCAATGCCCAAAAGTGTCGCCCATACTCTCTGTATAATAGATTTAGCAACCTTCTGAGATTCTTGCAGCCGTTTTGCTTTTGCTTTGGCCTTTGCAGTACTTAGTCCCACAACAGCTCGATCACATTCCTCGGGAGATGCTTCACTTTTCTTTTTGGCAATCAACTCTTCTTCATCATCACTTTCCAAATTAGGTTGCTTTGCTGTTGCTGTAGAAGCACAACGTATAGAGTACGGCGACAACCTCACACCAGCTGAAGAAATAACATCGACTCTTCTATTTACATAGTCAAATACTGTAGCGTTAAAACATTTTGGCTGGAGGAATCCTAAACCCAAAAATCTCGAAAATCCATCGTTTATTGCAGAAACATCGTCACTATCCTTTCTTTGATCTGAACCTTGACATATAGAATTCACAGTTGAGCTAAAACCGCAGGAATCCAAACAATGAGCAGATTGCCCATTCCCCGCCTGAAGAGTTTTAATAGACCGAGCAGAGACATTCAAATAGTCAGAAAGAAGCCTCCTCCTCCTCCATAGAATTGCTCTAGAAGCCATTACTTGCCTCTTCACTAAAAAACAAAAATCATGTTCAGCCAGTGGCATACAAGTTACTCAAAAAAAAACACTCAATATTACACTTAATTATTTCTTCACATCCGTCTAACTAGGCTAGACAGAGTTACTCAATATTTGTGTTGGTGGAAGGACCAGGTAGCTGGTAGATTATTCGAAATGCGTGCAAATTGGCACTGATATCACTATTACACACACATACATTATATATGTGTATGTTTGTGCGTGTGTAAAAATACACCAGCATTAAAACGTCATATCGTATTAATTGACTATTATAAGACAATGTTTTCTCCTTTTATTTCATCTTAATATATACAATGCAAATTTGTGCTAACAATTAGAAAGGAAAAAAAAAAAAGATTGCAAAACTTAAGTAAAGCTAAATTTAAATTATATGGGACACAAGCATCAAAAAACCAAATATACTCAGTTAACCTCCTATTATAAGACAATGATTTCTCCTTTCATTTCTTCTTAACATATACTATGCAAATTTCTGCTGAAATTAAAACTACGTAGAACACCAGCAGTAAAAACTGCAAACACACTCAATTGATCGCCTACTAGTAGATAGTTTCTTTTTTCTTAACATCGCAAATGTCTACTAATATTTAACAAAACACAAAAACTTGCAAAACACGAAAATCTATAAACAAAACTGTTTTTCACAAAATTAATACTACAAGATGAAACGACGATTCGCGAAATTAAAAATAGAAAAATAAAAGAGGAAGAACAAATTTGAAGGATTGTGCTCAGCTGAAAACATTCAAACTAGTGATGAAATAGCTTTGATACTTACAAATTTCGCCTCGGTGATGCGCAGAGAAAATAGTTTTGCTGAGAAATTCACACTGTCAACGTGTATATATATGTATGAGGAATTAAAAATATTATTTGGATTTAATTAAATGTATTTAGAGAGAGAGAGAGAAAAAATGGTGGAGAGAGAAAGCTAAAAAGTTGAAGCTTGGGGTCAGAACATGAAGGTCTCAGGACAAAGGAGGAGCTGAGATTTTGGGGAAAATGGGGGGCTTTAGGAATCGGGTGTAGTGCAGGTACAAATTATTCGATGTACAGCAGCATTATGCACCAGTAGATTTTCTTTTTCTTTTTTGCTTTTTCATCTCGTCCAGTTATATTTTAGCATGTGTTTCTGGAAATAACTTCTTCATCAAGTCTTTTTTTCCTTTATTTTTTTTGACAAACAAAGATAGATATTTATATAAAGTTACTTAATATTGTTCATTACGCCATCCTCAATGGCAGTGGATTAAGGATGTTCATGTTGCCTAGTCTGGCAAGATCACACAAAACATGAGTAGATAGTTTTTAACAAAATAAACATAGCCAGCCTTATCTGCATCTAGTTTATTTAGGATAATAGTAGGTGGCCTATCTACTAGCTGGTGTTCCATGCGCTTTTCTAGAGCTTCCTTAGCCAATCCATGTGCCACTTGATTCCCATCTCTGAAGTTATGGTGAACCGTTGTCTCCTTCAGCCGGCGCATTAAGCACCTGCAATAGTTGGCAGTCATATAATTAGATTCGTTATCATTAACTAATGTTTGAATTACCTACGTTGAGTCTGTTTCAATAATCAGAGAAGTGAAACCCTTTGCTAAAGTTATTTGCAGACCCTCTTTGAGGGCTTCCAGTTCGGACTGGAGGGGTGATGAAGCTGGGCAGTGATGTTGGAAGCCTAGAATCCATTGCCCGTGACAATCCCTGAACGAGCCTCCCAAGCCTGCTAGGTTAAGATTTTTGCTGAAAGCAACATCAATGTTAAGCTTAAGCGAACCCCTGGGAGGTTTATGCCATGCGACCATTATTGCATGTTTCTTAGCTATAGATTGATCTCGTTGGGTTAGTAGTTTATATTCAACAGCCAGCATAATAGTGCATTTGATAGTGACTCTGAAGGAAGTGTTTTTCACATTATTGTTATTGGGGTTCAACCATATATTCCAAATGATAAATGGGAAAAGTTCAGTCCAAGTAACAATATTAGATAGTTTTGGAGGATGAAGGTCTCTTAGCGAAGTTAGCCAATAGGATGAGATGATAACAACATCGCTTTTAAATCCCATTAGTTCCCAGAAACCGTGAACGGCTGAGCATTCAGTAAAGATATGCTCAATTGTTTCTATGCTTGATTTGCACACCGGGCAGGTAGGGTCTATATTGATACCAATATGTTAAAGATAGACACGAGTTGGCAACTTGTTGTGGAGACATTTCCATAGGAAAATTTTTGTTTTATTCGGACAGTTGAGAGCCCAGATCCATGAGAAATATGTGTTTGTAGGATCAGGCCGGTTTAATAGATTGTAGCAACTCCTAGTGGTGAATTTACCATTACTAGTAAGAGCCCAGGCCGCATTGTCTTTGGGGTATAGCTTCGAGTAAATAGATAGAATGATGTTCATTAATGAATCAGGTAGACAAAATGGCAATTTCCCCAGGTCCCACTTGTTATTTACCCAAATGTCCCTAATAGAAAGATTGCTGGCCTCTTTAGAGAGAGGACCTTCTAAAGTTGATCTAAGATTTTGGAAATTAGGGATCCAATTTGAATCCCAGATGTTTAGGTTAGAGTTTGTATTGGGGATCCAGTTAATACCTTTGTAGCAAACTTCCCAACCTTTGACTACACTTTTCCAAACGAAAGAGAAATATTTTAAATTAATGTTGTGCCCATACAAGGAAGAGAGGATAGTGGCCCAAGGGGAGTGATTAAGTTGGATTTATCTATAAGCGAGGTTTGCTAGGTTGACAATATTTTTATCTTTCGCAGCATGGATACCTAGACCTCCTTCATCTTTAGGTGAAGTAACAGTTTTCCAGTTGATAAGATTAATTTTCTTTTTTATATTTGTGGTACCCCATATAAAATTTCTTTGAATCATATCAATGTGTTTGAGAATGTTAGAGGGTAGCAAGTTAAATTGCATAACATGGTTAGGTATACTATTAAGTACAGAGTTAGCTATGGTTGTTCTACCTGCTAAATTTAGGAAATTAGATTTTCATAAGGCTAGTTCCTAGCTATATTGTCGAGTATAAATTGATAGTCGGAGGATTTGGGCTTTTTATTGGTTATTGGGAACCCTAGGTACTTCCCAAAAGACTTACTTATTTTGATACCAAAAAGATTTGCTAGGTAATTTGATGTTGTTGGCGGGCAATATTTTGACACCACAATTTTGGATTTTTGGTAATTTATCTTCTGTCCCGATAAGGAGCAGAAGTTATTAAGGCATGAGAGAATAGTTGTAGGAGAACTTCTTCACATTAAAGTAAGGTCGTCCGCATAGAATAGGTGAGATATGAGGTATTTATTATTATCAAATTTGATGGGGGACCATAAATTGATGTCAACCATGTGAGAAATTTGGGTTAAAAGCATGTCCATACATAGTATAAAAATATATGAAGACAAAGGATCATCCTGTCTTATACCTCTACTAGGATTGAAGTATGTGCTAGTATTTCCATTAACCAGAATGGAGATTCTACTGGTCGTCACACAGTTCATTATGAGTTTTAGGATCTTAGGGGGAAATTTAAAATGGCAAAGAGTTCTGTAAAGAAAAGCCCATTCCAAATGATCGAATACTTTTTCAAGGTCTATTTTTAGGATCATGTTTGATTTAGAGCTTCTGTACTTGTTCATTCTTAAAATAAGCTCTTGGATAACAATAGCGTTATCATTAGCTCTTCTGCCTTTTAGGAAACTGGCTTGGTAGGGACTGATGATCTTAACCAGGTAGGGCTTTAATCTATTCGCTATGATCTTAGTGATCCCTTTATAGATAGTGTTACATAGACCTATAGGGCGAAAGTTTTTAAGGTTGTTGGCATTTGGAATTTTTGGAATGAGGCGCAAGTATGTGTCATTAATCCCAACTGGCAGAAACCCTGATTCAAAAGCTTCATGATAAAGACCGATCACCGATTGGTTAATCAAAATCCAATATTTTTGGAAGTAGAAGGTGTGTAAATCATCGGGGCCAGGAGATTTATTGGGCTTGAAGGAAAAATGGCATCTCTAATTTCATGGCTCAATGGATTATCTAGCAAGGATAGATCAATTAATTTTTGACTGGTAGTATCATTTTTTATATTTTTCCAGTTTGAGATAACATGATTGGTGGTAAAATCTCTTGGAAATAAGATTTGGCGTGGTCTATAATTTTTAAAGGGTCATCTATCCAATTTCCTTCAGAATCTTTGAAGGAGACAATTTATTAATCCGTCTTTTGTTAGTGGCGCTTATATGGAAAAACTTAGAATTGCAATCATCCTCGTTAAGCCAGTTAATTCTGGCTCTAAGTTTCCAGTAATCTTCTTCCATTCTGAGGCAATTGTTAAATTCAATCTTAAGGTTTGCCTCTAGATTAGTCAAGAAAAGACTATGTCCATAAGCCTTAGAATTTTGAATGCCATTAAGCCTTGCTAAAAGTTTATTTTTCATTTTAGAAAGGTTCCCAAACGCGTTAATATTCCATCTGGTAATGGTATTTTTAAAGTTTGTGGCTGCCGTAGTAAAATCATTGTTTTGCCAACTCTTTTTTACAATAGAAGCAAAGTCAGAATGGCCTGTCCAAAATGTTTCTAACCGGAAGGGCTTTGGTAGGAAGTAGTTATTTTTATGGATTAATTCTAGTTTAATGGGGTTATGATCTGAGTGTGTTTTTAGGAAGGTGAATTACGGAAGCTCTAGGAAATAGGTTAATCCATGATTCATTAGTAAATATTTCATCAAGTCTTTCCATTACGCGACTAAAATTTTGTTTCCTATTATTCGACCAAGTATATTTACACCCTTTGAAACCTAAGTCTAGAAGCTCACAGTAGTTAATCTTATTCCAAATTTTAGAGGCACTTTTGCTATTAACAGGATTGCCACCAAGCTTTTCATCGGCTTTTAAAACATCATTAAAATCTCCCCCAATAGCCAAGGACCTTTATAATTATCAAAAATACCACAAATATTATCCCACATTAAGTTTCTAATATTGACATTAGTGCTAGCATATATAGAAGAAAATAGCCAAGAGTGGCGGATGGGAGGTACCTCAATAAGGGCATGGATCTCATTGTTCCTCCTAACAAAGTTATGGACATTGACCATAGTCGTGTCCCATAGCACTGCCAGCCCGCCGGATTGACCCTCAGCTGGGACCTCGATCATATCGGAGAAACCAAACTCATGCATCAGGCTGCCATGACTAGACATTCTAGTTTCTAGGAGAGTGACCATGCATGGTGGTGGGAGTTAATCAAAGCACGAAAATTCCTTTTAAAGTCGTCATTGTTGCCTCCCCTAATGTTCCAAATGATTATTGTTTTAGCAAGATTCATGGATAGAATTTGTGGTTGGTGGTGACCATTCATCTGGCTTCCTACTGGGAATATAGGATTCCACCTTAAGCTCGGCACTAGTATCATTGCATTATTCCCTACTGTGGGATCCTGGGTGGACGAATGTCCATTGTGCATTTGAAGAGTGAATTTGGGCAGGCTAGAATAAGCCTCTTCTCTCGCATCTATTCGAAGAGATAGACCTTGACTTCATATAGGTTTGATGATTCCACCATCGATTCTCCTATTAGATCTACATGTTCTTCCATTTCTCCCCCATTTGGTTTACTGCCTCTTGAGGAATTGGTGGTTGTGGAGCTTGATGCTCCATGTTCCCTACATTCATGGGCATTGGAGGTTGCAGGTTGTGCATTGATGGATTCCATACCATCAGTACTGGGTTTAGAGCAGTTAGCTCTTCAGGTGGGATGAAAGGGAGGTCCAGCCCCATATTTTGAGGCAAGTAGGGGTTCTGATTGAATGGGAGAAGAAGATTCCACTGGGCATGCATGTTTTGAAGTAGGTTGTTGTTCATGCCCGGGGCTAGAGGTTGCATTATGTTGTTGGCCCAAATCCGGTTCATGTAATTGTTCATCGCTAAGTGGAGACCCTCGGCTATTAGTTGAGCAAGAAACTGTGGATTTTGG